TATACGATAATTTTGACCTCATCTCTAATAGGGAGTGGTGAGTACTTGATATCATGTCGATTGGCCATTAGAAACACCACTCGTGTGCTGAGCCGCCTTGTCTGCCAAGCAGCACATCACAAAGGGCTCGTGTACCGGCTCTTTGAAGACTCGAGTTTTATCGTCTGCCGTCGTGTGGCATAAACATTGTTTCTTCTCTCGAAGTAATAGCCCCAACGCTTTTCCTGTGCGCTCCTTACAGGCTTATCGCGTGTCTTCCAAGATTCTATGCTCCGTAGTCTCGGGCCTTGGCAGCCCTCAGAGGCACACGATGGCACTATGGACAGAGGGCTGCTTCGCATGCTCCATTCACGACCACTCACCAGCCGGAAGAGGCTCAGACTTCGGAAGGTCAGCTCTCTGCCTTCTTGTCTGCGAAAATCTCAGTGCGACAAGGCAGGTTCGAAGATAGACTTTACTCCTCTGCCTATGCAAGGAAGCAACAAAAAGTTCGAAAGCGGCACCTGGACACACCCAGGAGCCAACCATCATTCCCTCATACTCATACCCTGTCCAAGGGGCATATGGAATTGGATAAGAGTCCGACATCCTTTTGAAGACGAAGGTGTTGCCGGTTTCATCTTCCTGGACCAGCGTCTCGTCGCTGGCGTAATGCATCGTCACCTCCACAGGGCCACCATCCTTGAGCTTGAGCGGCTTCATGTATCTGTCCTGGCTTTTGGGCCGCTTATAGGGGTAAAGAGGGGCCTTTGGGGCTTTAGGGATGTCTAGGGTCTAGGAACGTTCGCTTTAGGGTTTTGGGGGCTATGTCCATGGGGATTCTGACTGTTACATTGGGTCCGCAACCGTCCCGAGGACAGAAACTAACAGATCTCTGTCAGCCCCCGGCTCCCAAGCCGCAGAGAGAAATTTACCCAAACCCCCGTAAGCCGCATGAATCCCGACAGGCCCTAAGTCTGAAACCCAAGCACAGGAAGCTGCACTGCAGAGCCCTTTTTATTACACAACTTTTACCGAAACCTCTCAACAGCACCAAAAGCCGAAAGCTATGGAAATCGGCCCAAGTGGCCAACCCCGTGGAGCGGATCGCTTCCCGGCTCTCTGCGGAGCCGTGCCGGGAGGGCACGATCTGAACCTTTGGGGTTACTATAAGGGCTATGGGCTATTATAAGGGTTACTTTAAGGGCTACTAGCCACTGTAAGGGTTTTTTATATACAAAGGGTTTCGGGCTTCTAGACCTAAGGGGCTTTAGTGTTGAAAGGGCTTGAGGGCTTGGGGTGCTTCATAGGACATAGCTTTGTGGCATGGCGGTGCTATGTGCGTGTTTGTGGTAGGGCTTCCTCAGCGTTTCCACCCTAAACCCTAAACCCTAAACCCTAAAACCCCCCTAAACCTTAGGATTTCGAGTTTAGGGTTTAGGGATTTGGGGTTTTTTGGCGCCTCCTGGAAGTCCACGGTGCCCTTGTTGCCAGATTTGGCCGCCTTGAAAGGGCCGGACATCAGGAGCGCGGCGTTCGTCCTCTGGATGCCGTCCATGGTGAAGGCCTGCAACCAGTAGTACTTGCCATCCTGGATGAGGTTGTACTGCCTGTAGAACTCTACCATTGTGTTGGGCAGCTGATCACAGACCAGCTTGAGCAGGGTCTTCTTGGTTGGGCCAAGACTGGCGCTGTCCCAAGTGACCTGCCAATCACCCTCGGCCTCTTTCACGGCGTTTTTGGAGCTTGGTAGGCCCTCGATCGCCTTGAGAACCCGGTCCTTGATTCCACCTTTAACGGCAGAGAGAAGGCTCTCTTCTTCTCCACCCGCCTTCATGTTAACCTGAGTCGATCGGGAGCACCACTAGCCTAGCTCTGCTGCCTTCACTAATCCGATCTCTTGCCCACAGCAGACACCGAATTGAAGGGGCTGGGGTGCGCGCATGCACCGTCCTGGGACCAGGCCGGTGCCCCGCGAAGACCTGGAGAGAGCAGAGCAAGCCCCACATTTCCACAGCACCACAGCTCCAGCCCCGGCACCTGCTGGCCCTGAGCTGGAAAATCTCCTTGAAAGTCGCTGTGGGCCGAGTTGAAAAGGCCACCTAGGAAACCTCGCAGAGACCGGTGCAAGGCTCGTCTGGCAACCCTGTAAAAGCCCTTCTGCCACTCCGCCTCTGGACGCATGGAAGCCCGCGACCATGGCCGCGAGGGCGATCGCGGCGCGCCGCGGCGCCATGCGAGCCATGGGTGCTTGGAGGCGGCCTCGTGGGTGGACGGGGAGGAAAAAAGGCTCGTCAAACCCTCGAGTCTGCAGGCCGTGACATGAATGCTGCAGATCTGGGCACGGGCATGCATCGCATTCAGTGTTGCACAATCGCAGCAATGCGGCGTTAAGGATTGATAGCATCAGGTCAAAATCTCTGAATCTGACACGACCCTTGCTTTACGGCAAATGAAATTCACGGCTTGTACTTGCACCAGGCATCAGATGGTTCGGCTTATTTCGACCAAACTACTGCCCAGCTTGGAGAGAATTGAATCGAGAAGTCACTCTTTGTCCACACGGCGCTTTTGATCACTGGCCGTTTTAGCCAGCGAGCCTGTGACACCATGGCACATGAATCTTTCTCACGTGCTGCCTACGAAGTTGCAGGGCTATGGATTAAGACAGCATCACGACATAAAATGCAAGCCGCATGTCAAGTCTGAAACTGAAACCATCGGAGCCCCTTGTAAGTTGTACTGCCGCACTGCAGCAATGGGATCACGCACCGAATCGAGGGGCGTTCTGACTCAGCATAAGCCCGGAGGTCCTGTGAAGTGCCAACCCACTTTCAAGGGGGCAGACTTCCACTACGCTCTCAACTTCCACAGGATTGTTTCGCAAGATCTCCATTTTTATCCAGAAGCATCACAAATGCTGGAGACACAAAGGGCTGGGTGGATCTTTCATGCCTCGCCCGGTGCCAGGACATCGAACAATATCATCTTGCCACAGTGAACTAATTGCGCACATGCGACAAGATGATTTGCATCTCTGACCTTACACGGAAGCTCGAGGGGCGCACCGTAGCAGCACCTGTGCGGCATGCTGCAGAGCCCGTCGCCGGTCTGATCCCTTGGGCGGCCGTCCGTGAGACCTCGAAACCAGACTGCGATCGACAGAGACAAAATTCATCTCGTGGTCCGTTGTAGTAAACGGAGGAGAAGAAGAAACAAATGCTGGTGATGATGACGACGATGACGATTATGATGATGATGATGATGATGATAATGATGATGGTGATGATGCTGATGATGATGATGGTGATGATGCTGATGATGATGATGATGATGACGATGACGAGGATGACGACGGTGATGAAGATGAAGGCGTGTGGAGCATGACTACTGACTAGCAGGAGTACAGTTTCAGATGCGGTGTGACAAATCATCCACCAATATCCACCACACAACACCACCACCACCGCCACCACCACCAGGACC